GTGTTTGCTATAGATACAGATAAACTTCATAAAGGGCACATTTTCATATTCCTACCTATGAATAAATTATTTTAAAGAGAACAAATGATTTAGACTGTTATCTCTGCTGGGCATTTGGGATCATGTGGGGCATAATGAGTTCTTTCTCATGCAAACTGTACACCGAGGCATCACAGTGAGAAGACACAGCAAGAATTTGGGACTCAAATTCTTATGTGCTGGAAATGTGATGCTGTTAATCTGAGTGCTCCTATATCCACATGTGAGATTCACTAAACAGTGTTATAATGAATTTGGCACCACTGTTAAAAATTTTTTTAGGCTATAGCTTTAATTTCCTATTGGTACATTTTTATCATCAAGTTTTGAATACTAGTTGAGTTGATAGGTTTTCTTGAATAAATGGTTACTTAAAATTATTTTAATCAAACATACTATATGAGAACATTCAAACTTCAGTGCGTGTGTGCTTCTGGGTTGCAGTTTAATCTCCCCCTGACAACAGAGGAAGTGTTTTGTGGTATAAAATCATACTTTTGTAATGAAATACAACAAAGAGCTCCCATATCAGGTCAGAATAAAGACCTATATAGCCTAATTTTCATGTTTACCAGTGGGTAGATGCAAACAATTAAGGAAAAAAAAGAGGGCATGTAAAACGTGTTCTTCTTCCCTTGTATGGTCCTTTTCTGTTTCTTTCTAGCATCTTCACTCTCACCTGCCATGTGCAGGCAAAGAGCAGTTTGGGGACATCCCTGGGCTGCAGTTGAGCCCTCACGAACCCCTCCAACAGCCACCGGTGAACCTGTCCACGTGGATGTGTTTCACCCTCTCCTACATCCCTTGCTCATCCAAATCCTTGCAAACCCTTGTGGCAGTGGGCTCTTGCAGGCATGCGTTTGTTTAAAACACATTGCCTTTTGCCTTTAAGCATGGCTTCATAGCACGCCCTCTTATTCCTGCGCTGAAAGGGACAGGGAAGTGTTGGGCTTTGCTCTTGGGTGGAGGACTCTGTTCATCTCCGTTATCTTTCCCTACCTTCATCCGCCAGGCAGCCTCTCGAGCTGAGCAGGGTGGTACGACAGTGCCCATCCTGAGCAGTTTCCGGAGGAGGATGGTCAACTCTCTCTTGGTGCCACCTCCTCTCTGTGCCTGGGAAGAGCCTGGGGGTAGCCCCCAACCCCTACTGCTGCCCCAGACCCCCTCGCAAACATGGGAGTGCTGGGTTGCACTGGGGGGCCCTGCATTTGTGCCTGTGTGTCTGTGGATGGGCTCAGACCCTGTAATTGAGAAACTGAGTGTGGCTGCAATTAATTTACTGAGGGATAACCTGCTTCACAAGGGAGCAATGAGTCTGTTTATTTAGTTCTGTCAGGACCTATGGATAAAGACTATGTTCCTATAGATCCTAAACCAGGAAAATTGCTTAATTTTTAGGGCATATGCCTGGTAAATTTTATACTGACTTCAAAAGAGAGTTAGTGATACATTTGTGAAAACTGATTTATCATAGCAATAACTACAAATTTTTTAGTTCAGTTCTTCTGCAATATGGTGTTACCCAAAACCCCATTTCTCGTGTTCTGCTTTTCCCTTTCCTACAGCTCCCAAACTCTTCCCCTCTCTCACACCTGAACAGAAGCCATTTAAAAGGCAGCTTTTAGTGGCATGTCTGCAGGCTGTTGACCACAGTTATGGAGGATGGGAGACATATTGCTCTACCTGTAACTACCAGCATTTAGGCTGAGTGCAGATGCCAAACAACTTGGGTGCAAAAGTCTGGGAGAGATTTCAGAAATGTTACCAAGATGAATGACATCTCAGAACAACTTCTTTTATTGTATCTGTTCTGAACAGGGATGTATTTTCCATCCACACCATTGTTTTGGTGAAGATGCACCTGAATATCCACAGCAGAGGCTGTTGGGTGAGAGAGGACACACAGCTGGGCTTGGAGCACTGCATGTTTGACTCCGTATCAAATCACATGCTGTTTGAGCTGAAGTACCCCCATATGGAGGAATGATGTTCTTTCCCCATTTATACACCTGAATGTTTCAGCTTCACCCTAGGGTAATGGAGTAGAGTAAACCAGCAACAGGAACAACCGTGGAATGTCATTTAGTTTGGCACAAATAACTGCAAAATTGAATAGCTATAAAATGTCCTATTTTGTTACGAAGTGGTAAATATCCTGCTGGTAGCTACTAGTTGTTGGGCTTGATCTAAGTATATTAATGTTGCTCCTATTTTTTTTTTTTTTTCGTATTTCTAGAAGACAAAAGTGATATTAGCATTTAAATGAAAAAATATTTGCTTTTGTGATTCATTATTATTCACTGTTCTATGGACCCATATAAAACTACTCATTTGTTTTTCCTCATTTGGTCTGTAATTCTCTGAACCAACCTTTCTCTTATTCCATAACACTTGACCTTTAGACACAGACATTAACCTCAAACGCGGAGCCTTGTCAAAAACACTTTCCAAAGTGGAAACAACTTTGTCATTTCATTAGAAAATGTGGAATTGTGTTCTGAAACATTTCTTGATTTAATCTTTGATTATCGTCACCTTTCATCCTTAGACATCCATTTGATTTCTGGCTGGAATCTTCAATGATGTTCTCCTGGCATGAAATGAACTTTCTATTGCCTGTTTCAGTGTTGAGTTCTGTCAGCATTCATATTCTGCTTGCCCAAACTTTGTATAGTACCTAATTTATAGGTTGTGTAGCCCTTCAGAAAAGGTGATAAAAAATGAAAATAAAAAGCACCTCCAAGCAAAGATACTATAACATTACATGACAATTATCATTTTACCATTAGAAGAATCATTACTGCCTCCACTTTGCTGAAAGATAGGAAATGTGATTCTTTGTTGTTGTTGTAATTTGCTCCCCTGTAACAAGCACTCTATTTTCAAAAGATTTTAGTCAGCTTTTGATACAGAGCCTAATGCTTCCTAGTCAAAACATAAAGATGCACCTGTTCCTTGTTTGGACTTAAATATGAAGCTCAGCTTGATATATTGCTTTAAACATGACAAGAAAATTAAAATACAGAAAGCTTGAAGTACACAAAAGATGTGGAATGAGATGTTTAAGAATAAAAGTATAATATATCAGTATAACACATGTAGCTAGCTTATACCTAAACTGCGTATACTTGAAAAATACATAGCGTACACATCAGACATATCTTTGCAAATCTATATGATGCTGTAAATAAGACATTATCCCACACATTTTGGCTATATTTCCTTTGTACAGAATCTGATGATTACATGTTAAATTATATAAAAGTTTATATCAGGTTACATAATCATCTGCACCAGAAAATAATTTTACACCACAAAATGCATTTCAAAGTCCTTTTCTTGAACAATGTAGATTAGAGGATCAGGGCTGCTCAGTGAGTCCCAGTCATGCTGTGCAGCACATTCCACATCAAAAACAGGTTGGGGACTCTTGTGTGGGCTTTTTTCTTTTCAGTTTCACTTTGAACACTTGAGGTGAAAACCTGGTCTTTTTGAAGTCATCATCAGGAGTTAATCCAGCATGAAAATTGAGTCTACAAAGATTGCATCCCAACAGACTAGGGATTTGTGTCTCCCTTACAAGCCAGAATCTTCAGCTATTGTAGATTGGATATATATAACATTTTTCTATTGTTCCCAGTTTGGTTTATGTTTTTTGTTTTTTTTTTTTTTTTTTTTTTTTTAATCCTTTCTTTATTTTTTTTAATTATTTTTGATTTGATAACTTAAGAATATCTCTTCAAAATATTTTCAACAACTTTATTCTTGCCACAAATACGTATGACTAACAGTACTTCCTAAAAGCCATCCTAAAACCTGATGATGATATAGTTTCTGGGTTATGCTTAATCTCACCTCCCAAACTCATAGATAACTAATACTGGTGGTTCCAAGGCATGTGTCCCAGGTGGGTTGATATGAAAGAATGTAGATCAAAACCTCTGATGCCTTCTGGTGAGGTGGAATCCCTCTTAAATTCTACAAATATTTCTACAGATTTTTTGAAAAATTTATCAAATTACTCAGGTTCTATACTAAGAAGAGGATATTACCTCTTTATAACATTAACTTAAAAGGATTTAAAAGTCTTCCATTTTCTCTGGGAACTGCTTGCCTTTAATTGTTACATGTTTTCTTTGGTACGTTGTCTTAGTGTGATCCACAGCATTTGCAAACGACCTGGAAGAGTTAACATGTTTTGCTGTTTATGTTCCCCCTTTTCCTTGTCAGAAGACAATGACTAATGTTCTCTAAAGACAACTAAATCTTAAAAAGAAAGCAAGTACATTTAAAAGGGATACATATACAAAGAGAAGAACATCAAATTTATCACAAGCTCCTAATTATGATGAATGACAGAATGTTATTAGACTGTGCTTGTCAGCATGAGTTTGCTTGTTATTATAAAGTTTTAATGTAATATCAGTTTGGTGAATGATCATCTGGTATTTTCATTGTTCAAAGTGTGCTATCCACAAACAGAAACATTTCATTTAGATTCATGCTTACAAGATACAATTAGATAGCCAGATGGCCTGGTATAAGTGCATGCTATCATGTTGTGGTAACCAGGAGAGTATGGCCTTGGTTTTATTCTTTGTAGTGTATGAAACAAGTTGGAGCAGACCAATGGCTTCTTTTTGAAAAAGATTAATTAAACTAGACTTCCCATTGTGCTTTAGGGGTGGTAGGTTTTAAATACCATAGAAGTGGAAGGTGAATGGTAGGCTACAAAGCCTGGGATCTGATGGTTGTGGGTTTATCCTATCCTTTGCTGATAGTAATCATAGTTAATGGAGATTTGCATGCAGCTCAGAGAATATTATTCATAGGAAGGGAAAGAATGTGCAGAAGTGTTTGCTCTACAGAAGTAATGCAAGAGAAAAAAAAAAAAGTACTACTTTGTGTAAAAAAAAGCTGTATGTGTGGTTTTACATTAAATATGCTGTCACTTTTTGCAGATGAGGATAGAAGAATAATAAGAAAAAACAAACCAAAAAACACAGAGCTTTATCTAATGCCACATCTAGCAACAAGCAGGTAACTTATACAGTATGTATCCTTTGACAGAGGACAAATCCTGCTCTCCTGCCTTTATATTTCACTTACATTGGTCTTTATTACTCTGCTTCCTTTGCATGTAAGACTGGAAAGTGAGACTTCTCTTTCTGACTCTCAGTCTTAGCACGCCAAGGGCCTGGGCTTGCCATAGAATTGGTGTCTTCAGTGGTCCCACATTGCAGCAGAAATTTTTTTGTCCAAGCCGATCTTTTGGATTGCTGGTGAGGAGAAGGCAAAACACCACTTGCAAACCAGCCAACTTTTCTGAGCAGTCAATAAGAAAAATTAAATTTCAGCCAAAAATTCCATCACCACCCCACAGTTTGATTAACACAATGCGCATGATAGCATCCTAAATGCACACCCACTGTACTTCCAAAATGAAAATTGTCAGAGAGCGTAAGGGGGAATTCAGATATAGGAAAGGAGGAAAGGGTAAAACAGAGCTTGCATTATTAGCAGAAGATGCAAAAAAATTTCTGCAGAGAACATCAATGAACTTGTAGCATTACTGGCTGTTTGGACAGCCAGACAAGGAAAATCCAAATCTGTGAAAGTTCAGTGAGTATAAAAATACAATAAAAAATAGAAGATGGGGAATCTGTTACAGAAACAAAAAGGTTGGAATTTTTTCTTGATTTATACTGTGTATGTCTTTCTTTTCCTCCCCAGCCAGCAAACAGATTGTCCCTATTTCTGAATCTGTGGTGGAAAGGCATAGGAGCACAACCATAAAAACAGAATTTCTTTGATTGGGGAACCATGTCATATCATGAGAATTCATTTATTTCAGTGAAAAATACCTCAAACTCTTAATAAGCTTATGGTTGTGGAAATAGACCCACAAGAAAACAATTTGGACAAAAAGTGATGAGAAATTTGCCAGGAAGCACACATAGATCTTTTTGCCACTGAAGATACACTTGATATTGTCAGTCTTGAAACAGCTGTGCTTGTTTTATATTGAAACAAGTTCTTTTCCTCTCTCATTTTTACAATGTGTTTGTTAATTATTATAGTGAATATTAACTTTGTGTGTCCATTGTCTTCTTTTGTGGCTCGTTTTTTCATACTGCAATTCATCTGATTATTTCTGCTTCAGTTCTGCTTCCCACGATGCCAGGTACTTATCAGTTGTCAATATTTATTTCTAAATTGAAACTGTCAATGTGTTTTATTTACAAGTTTTATCTTACTGAATAAATAGTACCCAATAAAAATATATTTCTTTATGGAAGATAGCATCAACAGTGACAACATGGCTAGGAAATTTTCTTTTTTTTTTTCCCTACACCAAGCCCCATATTTTTTCTGTTGTGCAAAGCCTACTTATAAAAAGGATTCATGTCTGTTTATAAACCTACTCTACATAATAATATTGTTTTCTAGTACCACATGCTGAATAACATTCCAAATACAAATGTAACTGTATGAGCAGAAAACAAAGGAAAACAAGCCTTCTTTCACAAAATTTAATATGAGATTTCTCGTGAACCCATCTTTCATTTGTTCATAGAAAAAAACCCTGCACACCCACAAACCCTTCAACTAACCAAACTCACAGGGCTTCTATGTGCCAAACAGTGACTGGGATTATTGAAAATGTAGCTGACTTCCTATGTGTCATGTTTTCTTTGATAAATATTGTATCTTCTTTTTAGCAATATAATAAACCAGAAAAATTTTATTGTTCTCTTGGTAAGGATTTGTTTGAATGCAACATTACTTTTGATAAAGATTATAGGATTTTCAGGAAAATAAAGCCAGAAAAGCTTTGAAAAAAATTTATTTTTACAGTGATGGAAACAACCGTTGAATGCACAGAAAAAATCCACATACCTCCAGATGTTTTGCAAACAAATCTTCATTTAAATTTAGTGTGGTGAATCTTCTTTATAAAGTAAAGACGACACAGGCTATATTTATGTAATACTTGGCTATTCTTTATTTTATAATGTAAGTTACTTTGGATGATTTGTTTTAATTTATTATTGTCATGTACAAAATAGTATTTGCATCGATAAGAATGGTGAAATATTCTCCAGTCAATTTGCAAACTCCACAGCCAGTCTATTTAGCAAAATATTTTCATGCCTTCACAAAACTTATTTTTCACTAATAAGCACAGGCTTAAAATGGACAGTTTAAGAGGTAGCTGCTATCTAAAAATATTCAGTAGTGTGAGAAACCACTATAACACAGTCACAGAGAGGAGGAACATGCAGCAACATGCAGCAGCATATATGTAAATTACTTCTTGTCTTTCAAGTCCCAAACATGTCCATTTTTCTCCCTTTCCCACATGGAAATCTGCTTTTGTTTGAGTAAAAATGGTACTATGATGTTTTTGTATTCCATTTGTTGTTTTCTCAAGCAACTATCCTGAGTAGAAAAACCAGGAGACAATCATGTGAGGCCACCAGAGGAGATTTGGGAAGATGTTGAGGGAGCAGTGTATGTGTGCTAGCAAATTTCTACTAAAGCTGCCTCAGCCTGCTGTCTCTTTTCAGTCTCACGGCCTAAGCATCCTAAAGACCGTTCTTCATAAGGCTGTCAAAATGCCATATAGACCCTTTCTTATCAGGAAAACACCACAAGGTTTGCTCCTTTGCTCTTCTTCCTCTGCTCACCTTAGTTGTCTTTGCATGTTTGATGCAGGAGATCAGTGAAGTAAAATGAAATAGTAAGTCCTACCCAGACCCTCCAAACAACTAAAGCTTTGGTAAGTCTCTCTTCTTTAAAACATTGATTTTATGAATGGACGTGAAAGCTGAGGTTTCTAAGGGGCATGAAGAAAATGTGCATCTTCTTCACAGACCTTTTGTGTGCATTTGTGAAGACTGTGTTTCTGCCTATGCCTTCTAGTAAAAGAGGGTGCTGGTGTGGGGCAGAGGAAAATGATTTTTAGACCAGACCTTGACAAAGGAGTGGAATTCTGGCAAATTTGGTTAGAGCATTTTGTATGTTAGTAACATTTTTCCCTACTCTACTTACAGTTTTTATTTAATCTTACTTTATGCAGAACTTTAATCTGTGCTCTTTTACATCAACAAAAAGGTTAAAGGCAAATGAAAGGTCATTATAATGGAAGAAATAAAAATGATAAATAAAATATAAGAAGAACATATCTCTTAAAAATTAAGTAGAAAATATAGTGGAAAGGGAAGAGAGAGAAAGAGATGGTAAATGTGACAAGTGTGGGGGAAAAAAACCAAATGAAACCTCCGCACTCTTGCTGTCATACCTTGTTGTGCATGGGAGTGAAGAGTAACAAAAAATCCTCCTCAGAAATTCTCAAATTTTGTTTTATTATTTTATATATTTTTTGTTGTTGTTTTTAAACAATAACTACTTACAAGAAATACTTTTCAGCCATAGATCTCAAGGTACTTAAAATAGACATTATTGTTTTCTTTCTATATTCGGGAAACCTGAGAAGCAGGGAAGTAACAATACTCTCCTTAAATGACCTGCAGTGTCAGTGGTGGAATCAAGAAGACAATCAAACCATGTCATTTGGGAAACATATATTTCTGTTGAAAAACCATGGGGAAATGATATTGGAAGGCAGACAGTTCTTATCAGTCTTTCATAGAAAATGAAGCGGTCACAATATAGAAAATCAAATAGGTTTTTAAGGTCTGGATAGGAGACACCTTTTTGTTCTGAATTTTTAAAGCATCCAGCTCAGTGGGGTCTTGCTCCACCCACAGGAGCCATTGCTGTGGTGGGGTCATTCAGAGACCCCTTCCAGCAGCGCTGTCTTCAACTTCAATTGTGCTGCTTTGAAGGGTTCAAGTCATTGGCTTACTGTTATTAGAAAGTAATTGTGTATTTAATAGATTAACTTCAGAAAAGCCTGACTGCTATGAAACATTAAGTAGGTTTTCTAGACTGGTGGATGGCTGCCAAAATATTTGGCATCCATGAAAGTTTTAAATTTTTGTTTGATGTGTCTTTGGCAGATGATAGGCAATAGTAATGGTTGACTTGGATCCAGCAAAACTTTAAAATGAATCGATTTGCTTCAATGATAATAAAAAATGAATGCCTTTTAAAAAAATTCTGATGTACTCAAGATGTCCCCTGTTTCCTGTTAGATAAATGCTTCCCAAACTATTGTGTGATCAGGAGTGTCAATGCAGAAGGTAGATAGTCTGATTGAAGGTTTAAGCTAGGAAAGGAAGGATGTCTCATAATTGAGGGATGACATTTGAGAATGCCTCTATCCATAGTATAGACGACCAGTACCATATCTGCCATAACAAATATATGTGAATTAAGAAAGAAAAGATAAATATTAATGCATCACAATATAAAAATTCAGTCAATGAAGTTGATTCCTGAAACTGAAAATAAATATAAAATAGGTTAAAATAGCCTTATATATATATATATAACTCATTGTCCATATTTTCTTTAATTTACAATTATAAATTATAATCCAGACAGAATCAGAGTTAACCATTAGTTTGACTAGACCTAATAGCAAGTGCATAGTGTATGCAGCCAGCTAAAATAAAATTTGGAAGCAGCATTAGAGTGAAAATGTTCAAGAAAGGAAGGCCAGAAAAAATATGTTCTCTTCTTCAGTTCTAAAAGGGTTTGGTTAAAACTCAAGAGTATCAGTTAAGTGGCTGCCTGATAACTCATAATTTATGGAGGAGAAAATATCTATCTGCCTTACAGTTAATAGAATTCAGGTTGCAAGGCCCTTACCATACAACCAATAATTCTGTGTAGACCCACTTCAACTTTCTTCTCTAGAAATTTTCTGCTTCCTCTCCCGCTCAAAGGAAGGCTGGATTTCTCTGAGGCACATGTTTCAGCCATACAGGTTGGTCCCTCTGCATTTCAGCGTGTACAAGGCAAGGGAGTAAGGGAGGGAGGCACTTCTCAGGGGTACACCAAGGAAGGAGAAAGAAAAAGGAAGGAAAATGGTAGGAGCAGGATCATCTAAGATGGTTCTTTTGGAACACA